CTCTTTCCTGTCGGCCAAGGTCAAGCGACTAGGGCTGTTGGCATGACGACGCCTCCTCAGGACAAACGCCATGACGACGGAAGTGACCGGTGGACCACTGGACATCAAGCCAAATCTTCCCTCACAGACTGTCAGCCATTCACTGATGACTTCACCATGTGTTCCTCGTAACGCTGACCTTTTATTCGTTATCATTTTATTGGTTTGTATCTCAGATAAACTTTATGAATGTATAAAACATAATCACATAATCATACGCTATGAGAGCAGCAACAGAAACAAAGCAAGAGATTAAACTCTGTTCCAGAACCTACACAGGCAGCTGTCTACTAAGGGAACGTCTAGACTGAACTGATTTGAGACACTGGTGTTTGCTAAGATAATGCTGCAATAGTAAGTGTCAGAATATGCACAAAATAGTCCATTGTAATAAAATAAAATAAGAAATAAATATATTTTAAAACAATACATTTAAATAAAATAAAAATGAAAAAAATACATCTCAAAATAATAAAATAAATACATTAAAAATACTAAATTTAATTACTTTTAATTATTATAGTATATACTATTCAGTGTTTAATTAATTATTTATAATAATTTATCATGACTCATCTCCATCTTATGTAGATTTTTCCCCAAGCTTGTTGCAGTGCATTCTGGGATTGCCTTCAACGCAAACTATACTTGTGATGCTGTATTCAAATGTCCCTACGATGCCTTAAAAGAAGGCAGCTCACTAGGTTTTGGAACAGAGACTGAAAACAGCAGCTGCTCTGATTGTGAAAAGGGTTTTAACGTTTGGCAGCTGAGAGAATCGCAAAATTCACCTTTCTATGGTGAGAAATAACGGTTGTTTCTGACTTTAAATATAGCCTTTTAAGACTCGTCGTCTTCCAGAATATCTGCTATGAATCTATGCATCTGTGAAGAGAGAGAATCAACCGGCCAAACCCTTACGAAAGGTACCGTAGTGCTTTATGATTGCCATATTCATATACTATATGGCATATGTTTTTTTTGTAAGGGAAATATGGTTAGTTCTCTTTTTCTATTACAAGCCAAAACTCTCAAATGAGAATCATAATTCCGATTTAGAATTGGACAAACCTTCACTAAAAGTAGTTTGAGCTGATTGAGTTTATTTGAAATAACAGTGTTATACTGACCTCTAGTGGGCATAATGAGCATTACTAGCAGTATGCGCTGATCTCCCTGGCTGTGTTTACAATGACACACTAACATACTGCATACTAGATTTGCCAGCGTTGATGTTAACTTGTTGTTAAATGATACAAAAATCAGCCTAAAAATAAACATAAAGTAGTGCATTAAAATAGTCCATTTAAAATCAATTAAATAAAAATAAATACCATTTTTAGTGTTGAATACATTTTTGATACTTTTTAATAATTCATTTTTAGTAATTACTTTAAACCAGAGCACACTGCGCTGAATACTCTATCCCAAAATGCAATGCACTTGATCTTCCGTATCCAGATAAATGCACCGGAAAGCATATCAGTTGTGATATTGAATCATCATTTGTTTAGATGCCTAAAAGTGACATTTTTACACATGCTTGCATTAAAAATTCATAACAACTTCTGGGATAAGCAGATGCTGCGTGCTGAAATAAACATGTTTATTGTTGCACGCTGTTTAAAACAGCAGTATTGCATTGTAAACACAGCCTCTTTTATGCAATATCATCTTGTTTTGTTATTTTGTTATATCTGACTGATTTGTGAGTAATGATGGCGCTCAGCTGTATTCCTCACATTTTTACCGTGCCGTTTGCGTTCTTCTGCTCCAGCTACATGGTGACGGCGATATGCAAGTGTTTTCTGCTCAGAGAGGGACTTTTAGAGCTGGAAAATATCCTTCATGTGGCCTTTTTTAAACTCTGCTAAATTTTAATATATTATAATTCAAACTAAACTGTAGTCAAACTATGTTAGCTATCGGATGGAAAATCATATCCTTATTTAAACGAAAGAGTGCCTTTTAGGGTTGTTTGTATATAAAATTGCAATAAATATAACTGTTGACTTGAGTTTTATGGGGTCATTTCCTGGGACCCGGGGCCGAGAGGCCCGGGGAACGGCTTTCACTCATATATGGTCAAAAACACGACCGAAAAGCTCAATAAAACACACACAAACACAGTCCGTTCACTGCACACGAGTCATGTACAGTAGTTAACTGTGTCTTGGATGATTTGCTAGGAGAAATAAAACAAATGAGATGTCATTTGTGTCCGACTCTCACGACTGTTGTTGTGGTTTTCTGGCTGCGGAGCAAAGCTTCACTCTTCTCCTGCTTTTAGCACATGAACACAATGAGGCCGAGTCTTTTTCTCTGAAAACACGGCAAACATTTTAGAAACAAATTCTACAAATAGAAAATGTTCAGAGAATGTAATTAAGGAAACAGAGCAATTTGCTAATTTCATTTAATTCGAAAAGGCTATTTTTAAAGAGAGCATTCAAAAACTATTTTCCCAGTAAATACATAAAACATTTTAGAAAATAAAAACAAAAACGAGATTCTGTTTTTTTCAGAGCACATGATCAGGAAACAAAGCAATTTTAATTTAATGAAAAAAAAAAAAAGTTGAAGATCAAATTGCTATTTGTAAAGGGAGAACTGAAAAAAAAAATTCTCAGAAAATACATAGAACACTCTAGGAGAAAACCCCTGGATTTTGTAATATTCAGAGAATGAAAATAAGAAAACAGTGATTTTTCAGTTTATTTACTTTGAAAAGTTTATTGTCTGAAATATCTAATCAACTTTTAACATTTTTAAAGGTAGAATTCAAATACATAACATATATTTAAAAGGGTCATATGATGCTGCTAAGAAGAACATTATGTCCTACATGTTGAATCAGTACTTTATATTGAAAAATATACTTGTTCATTTGTATTTTTTTGAGGTGGTATTCATAATCTGTTCTTTCTGATGGAGCTGGTTAAACTAGTTGCTGGTGACCACAATGCTGCTCTTTTCAGCAGGCATTATCATTAATTATTGTTAATTAAGTGTCCAGTATTACAATGATTAATGTTGACACAAAAACTACATATACTTTATATTTTAAATGTATATGTTCATGTATTTTACTTTTTTTTTTAATTAATCATTGATATAACAGTAGAAAATATTATTATTAATAATAATACATAATTTTTTAAAATACTAAAATATTACATTTATTAAATATCATTATATTTTACATTTGATATATATATATATAGAGAGAGAGAGAGAGGTTTTTTCACTTTGAATTAATTTAATAATTTACATAATAGTAATAAATTATTAGTAATAATATATTACAATTATAATGCAATTATTTGTTAATTACTAAAATGATACATTTATTAAATATTATATTTAACTTTTTATATATAAAGTATCATTTAGATTTATTTTAGATTGTTGGTTATTGATGTTTTTAATATTTTTAATTTAGAATTATTTTAATAATGTCAATAATAGTAGCTAATAAATTATTTTAAATTTAGAATGTATTTTCTCATTTACATTTATATAATAGTAATAAATGGTTAGTAATAATAATAATTATAATTTTTTTTATCACCGACATATTACATAAATTCAATTTATTAATGAATGTGTTACATTTATTACATCTTATTTGACTTATAATTAGTAAATACAAATAGTAATATATTAATTTAATTTTGAATGACATTTTTAAACCTGAGTCTGCAGACTCTTGGTCCGCCAGCAGGAGGCGCTGTGTCTCTGTGTTTGCTGTGCTGCTGGTTTGTGGAGAGCAGCAGAGCTCAGACTGAAGAGGTGACCTAATTCAACTCAGGACATCCCACAATGCTCTCTCATGTACAAACACACACACACATACACACACACACTCACTCACTCACTCACTCACTCACTCACACACAGACACACACACACACACACACACACACACACACACTCTCTCTCTGAGAATCAGGAGGGAAGGAAAGAGCGAGAGCGGCCCGTGGCATTGTCTGAACCTCCCAGAGCTCCATTATGATCCACAATCACTCACAATCAGAGCCAATAAACCTCACTCATCTAATGAAGGAATATTTCAGACATAAAAAGAAAGAAATGACTCATTACATTATTACATCACATTATTTAATCCTTCTGAACCTTTATGACTTTTTTTGTTTAACAAAACTGCTCATTTGCATACAGAAAAAGCGCAGAGTGTTAAATAATACAAAAACACTAAAGTCCTTATGACTCATGGTATGTCATAATATTTAGCTTTGTGTCATTTTTTTTAATGAAAATCATGCATCCGCTGTAGTTTTCAATGTTTGTGTTCATTCAGACATTCAGAAATGGCTCTCCAAGACATTTTGTGCTGGTTTTACATCAATAATGCCATCAGTTATCACATCATGTGAGCCATCGTGATTTACTATGCAGAAATACACGATTTTATTTAGAGCTATAGCAAATATTTTAATATTTATTTCTCAACACTTGATTCATAGTGCAGTAGTCATATGGACTATGATGATTTATGAAGCTGTTCACGGTTTACTTTCAGTGTTGTTATTGTTAAATAAAACAAACAAACAAAAAAAAGAATAATTTTTGTTAATTAAAATAAACCTAAAATAAATAACTATTGTATATATACACTGAACAAAATTATAAACGCAACACTTTTGTAAGTGCTCACTAACACAGATTTAGACAGATTTGTGAACAATATTTGAGAGAAATAGGCCTTTTGTGTACATAGAAAAAGTCTTAGATCTTTGAGTTCAGCTCATGAAAAATGGGGGCAAAAACAAAAGTGTTGCGTTTATAATTTTGTTCGGTGTATGTATTAATGCATTTATAATGTATTTATTTATATTTATTTAAGAATGTAATAAAAAATAAAGCATAATAAAATTAAAATTAATTAAAGCTAAATAGAAAATTAAGTATGCTTTTGAACATTAGATCTTCAACGAAAATTAGAAATGTTCACATGGCAACTAGCTGAAATAAAATAAGTTTAAGTACTAAAATTACTAAAACTAAAAAAGAAATACATAGAATATAAGTAAGTAAATACAAATTAAATAATTCAATAATAAATTAAAACTAAATATAAATATAAAAAAACTAATAAAAATAATAAAAGCACATCACAAATATTACTAAAATTTACAATGAAAAAATGTCAAAAAATAAAAGCTATAAAATTAAAAATAATATTATAATAGTATATAAATAATGCTAAAACAAATAATGCATTTTTACGATATGAAAATGCGCAGCTTGGACATTCTGCAAAACATCTCCCTCCACAGAATAACGAAAGCCAAGCAGGTTTAAAACGACATGAGAGTAAATAAATGATGCCAGAAGCCTCATCATTGGTTGAATTAT